CCCATGTCCTATACTCATATCCTTCCCTTCCCCGTATTTGTTTCCTTATAAAAGAAAATAATTGTAAAAAATGCATTTATGCAATGTTAATAGTTAATGCTCAGTTTATAAACATGCAAAAGATGCATTCTCAGTAGGCACATGCTCACAGAGCACATGTATGCACCACATCTATACATATATACATACACACACACACACATATATATACACAGCTGGCCACACAGATCAGAGAGACACTCAGAAAACTTACAGAAACTCTGGTGACAGTACCAACAGCCTCATCCTGCTCCCTTCTCTGGCTGAGCAGGATGGAGGTCCACTGGGCTCAGACACACACGGAGCCCTTACCCAGGAAAGAGTCAGAAATGAATTTAGTAAGAAGACAGGACAGACTGCACTGATCAGGTGCAGCCAAACATTCCAACCAGTCAATTATTTTCATGCAACCTTTTTATCCCCTTGCCCCTCTATTTTCCCACACTTGTCCCTCCTCTGTATCACCTAATCCCTCCTTTTTCCTGCCTTTTGTTCCTCCCCTAAGAAGTCCTATAGTAAGTCCTGTGCAATCTGAAAATGCTCTTCCCCTGCATCCCATCATGTGTCCCACTCCTTGGCAGCACTTGAAAGGTGATCCAGAGAGCTGCTCCTGATGACTCACGGTGATGGATTTCACGCCTGGACACAGGGTGGGGGCTGAGACTCTCCTGAGGCAGCCCTGGGAAGGGCCCAGATACAGTGTTCGTTCTTGGGAGTTTGCAGTTTGGGTTCCTGCCTGCCGCTGTGTCCTGTACTCCTCTGGGCTTGCGGAGATGGGCCTGTGATGGGCCTGGGAATATCCAGGGCAGAGGATTATTTGGGCTCTCCCTCCCCCATCACTGTCTCTCGGTGCTCCTTTGTGGGTGTGCAGACAAGCTGTTACACATAACTTAACACAGAGTAACATGAAACAACAGAAGGGCACAGGCTGCAGGAAGGAGTTTGAAAATTACATTATATTTGCACTTTCCTAGCTGAAAAGTTAATTGCATTAGAAGCATCTTCATACATTGTTTTCAGATTGAAGAGAGAACCTAGTTTTTAAAACACTGTTCTCTGATGCTGCCCACAACGCAGGCAGAAATGTTGTAGTACTGTCGTAAGGTACATAGGTACTTTGGACTTTCCAGGTCTTAGGGGTGGAGATAATCTAAATACAAAAATCCACCCATAAAGAAAGATGACAACTAAAGGATAATCAGACGACGCTCAAGTGTTCGTCACAGAATGTAGTGTAGAGATACTGCACTGGTTGGGGGGTATTTGCTGAGGCTGAACAGGTCATAGCGACTACCGTGGCTTCCCAAAGTACATTTTCAAGAAACTATCTTCTTTCCATTTGAACCACTGCAGTCAGAATCCTCTGAAGGTCCTCTGAAGAGGACCAGAACAGGACTGTTGCCAAAAAGCCAACAGTTTGCAGGTTTGCTCCTGCTGTTGTTTGATCGTGGTAATTTCGAGCTTTGATATACCTTCCCGCCACGGTTTCTACTACAAAACCCCCAAATGCATGCTCAATTAAAGATTAATGCATAATGATCTCATTTTTTTATGTCTAACTGGTTCACGTCAAACAGTTTGAGAATTTTGATTCCTGAGATTATCAGCAGCCTGATAAAGCTTGTCACAGTTTTGGGCTTGCCATTATCCTGAAGTACTATCAAGCAATATGGCAAATAACAGCAAATTTGCCCAGTCTAAAGAATTCATGTCCTTGAAGTTGTTATTGTAGGAACACGTGCAAACACGCATCTGAAAGCTTACTACAACACAAGCTTACAACTATTGCCAAACATTAAGACTCTTTCAAAGTGCAAATTTACATCTTATATTCTATTAATAAAGATGTCAAAATAGATTTTTTTTAAGTTAAATTATGTATTTTCTTCTCTGTTTGACCTCAATTTATTTATGACACAGCAAGACTGCTGCAGGTGCATTTAATGTGACCGCAGGAGTCAAAGGCAGCAAAAGGCCTACCAGTTCATTCATTCTGCGCTCTGATATCACACTGTTCATCCCAGGAGTAAAGTAAAGCTCAAATTAAAGCCTTTCACCAGATCTACCAAAAGACTATTCCACCCTCCATCAAGTCTCAGACAGGAAAACTGTTCTGCCCTTCAGCATTCGCCTTAAATTCACCTCTTCGTAGACTACCTTCTTCCTCCTCAGGTTTTACATTTTAACATATACAAAGGGTTGCTTTCTCAGATGGATGCACGCCACACTCCAACTAATTCAGTCCCTCTTCACATTCCATCCCGGGCTTCGCTGCCATGTTGAGGCTTCCACTTTTCAGTTTCCGGGTTCTGCAACACTGACATGTCCTCCCTTCTTCCTCCAGCAGCCTTCTCTCTCCAGAACCCACATGAAGACATGCTTACGTGAAGCCCTTTGCCTCACACGTGCACAGAACACCCGTCTTTTGCCTTTCAGTCTCCCAGAAACCACGGGAGGTGGCAGCTCTCACGGCCACCTGCTCCAAGCAGGGCACTCCTTTAACTTTTCAGCCTCTGACACCACCAGACACCTGTATTCACATCGCTACACCAGAGTTTCTCAGGACGCAGCAACAGCAGAGGAAAGCTCTCCAATCACCGGTGGCCATCCAGGGCACGGCCCAGACCTTCCGGAACGTTCCTGTTCCGGAACGTTCCGGAAGGGTGCCGTGAGCTGCTTACACCGCGTGGGCCGCGTCACGTCGTTTATTCAGTCTGAGGTGAAGGGGATGCCCTGCGGAGGGGCTCCTACAGGCCGGCGGGGCAGTGCCGGACGCGCTCCGGCGTGGGGCCCGCTGCCCCCCGGCCCACACGCACCAGGCGGCCGCCACCGT